TTATCAACATTTGCCTATGATGAAATAGCTCCATCCTGTTGGGAGTAATATCTTTCTGGATAATAGTTCCACCATCCATGGGGCAAATGGGGGTCACAGATTTTTTTAGGTGAGTATAAAAATAACATAAATTATGCACAGGCAGCAGTCTGAGCAAGACAAGTTGTTCCCAAGCCAGCTGAGAGATATGATTTCTGCAAGTCCTGGGTCTTCCCTGGGGCCTGCTCCCAGTAGCACATGCCCGAAACACCTTGCCTTGGAGGCAACCAGCAGGAACCTAGTCAGTCACCTCAACTGGCTTTTTTCGATGGGAAGGAATAGCAGCTCTGCTCAGAACCTCTCAAATAACCAAGCACCTCATCCTGTCTCTGGGAGAGAGCCCAGAGACAGGATGATCAAAAAACTTACCACCACTTGTATACACATACTTATTCTTTTGGTCACTATCTAGAACTCACGACCATAGGTGAGGATGGGAACAAGAAATGGCAGGTAAATCGAAAACTTCGCTTTCATGCTTAGCTCTCTTCACCACAACCGATCAGTACAGCTTTTGTATTACTGCAGAGGCTGCCAAGCACAAATAAAAAATTAAAATGAAAAAATATGTTTATTAATTTGCGATCTTTTCTTACTGACAAGTATCTTTTAAATCACAGATTCTAGCTACGTGTTTCCAGTGCAACAGGTTTTTATGGCAGCTTTAACTAATTATCTGCTTGTTGCTATTAATATTATTTACTTCTCAAAGGTTTATGAGGGTAAAAAGAATGTATACCTGCTTTAAATTTTGACTGCTAATCAATTAACTGATCATCTGTAGCCTGACCACTTCTATAAAAGCAGGAATTTTGAGCTTTGGCAGATTGCTGGACTGTTGCAAAATTAAAGAAGCTACTGTTGCTGCCATTCAGTCAATTTCCAGGCTATTTAAAGGCCATGGTTCCACAGTGATAATGATTATTCACAAATGCAAAACATTCAAGATGCATGCCAGTCTTCCCAGGAGTGGATGTCCTAGCAAATTCATTCCAAGTTCAGACTGTGCAATGCTCACAGAAACTGCAAAAAAACAAACAAACAAATAAACAAGAGTACAAGACAAACCTCTTAGACTCACGAGCCTCAGTTAGCATGTCAATACGATAATGTCCAAGTTCTATCTGAACAAACCGTGAGATTTTTGGAACAGTGTGGAAATCTGGCCATAATGCACACTGCACAGAAAATCAGCACGACACCAATACCAGCTGTCATCCACGGTGGTGGAGGGCTGATGAGTTTGGTTTGTTTTGCAGCCACAGGACTTTGACACCTTGCAGTTATTGGGCTCCTCTTGATACCAAAGTATTCTAGAATCAAATGTGAAGCCATCTGCGTGACACGTTTGGCCAAAACAATGATGCAGACCACAGCAGCAAAACTCTACAACATAATAGCTAAAAAAGGAAAGAATCAAGATGCTGCAGCGGTCCATATATTTGACCTCAATCTCACCTGTCCAGACCTTAAGATATGGTAGCTGTGCATCTGAGATTTTCAACAAAATCCTGCAAACCACAATGAAATGAAGCAACATAGTGAAAAAGAGCGGCCCAAAATGCCTCCACTATGGCGTGAACGACGTATAAAGTCATATAGAAAATAATTAATTCAAGCTATTGTCGCTAAAGGTTGTTCCAAGACATTGAATAATGGAGTCTACTTAGTTTTTCTGC